ATAAGTCATTATCAACGATGACAATTACATTGCAATATATTAAACAATACACGGACAAAACAATAATGATAGTCTGTTTTTGTTTACATGGAAGATTTCCAAGCAACGACAAACTCGTACATACGAGACGCTGGAAGCGAAAATCGCACCGCAGCTCATGATTTTTTTTTTTTCTGTCTATATTATTTAATGAAACATACATCAATGAAAAAATGCTGCTTAAATACACACACACAATATATATATATATATATATATATATATATATATATATATATATATATATTGATGGGAAACAAAAATACACCACCGTGAATATGTGTTTCAATTTATTCAAGATTTGACGTACAGATAAAGGAACTGAATGACAGTAAATGATCACATATTCAAATCAATACGTAGACACGTATGGGAGGAATCAACAAGAGTCACACTCATTAACATACTATTTATATTTGCCTTTGGCTTAATGTAACATATAATCGGATGCATAGAGCATAAAGTATACAATCCCGAAATAGATTATTCAGTGCCTCTTCTATATGTTCGCGTAATGCATCTAGGGCTGATCATTTTACAGTTAAAATGGCTAAAAGCTGTAACCGTGTTCTATTCTAACAGTCTCTTTTCTCGCTCTTACTTGTAGAACTCTCTTCCAGACTCTTGCTTTCCAGTCAACTTTAATATTCAAAAATTTAAATACAATGTCAATCGTTAACTTCTGTCTCCGTCCTGGGTATGACGATAAATTACATCCGCGTCCTGCGTAAGACGATAAACTATGTCAAACAGCAAGGCCTCTGATGAGGAGCAGCGAACCACCTCTTAATTGCTGATGTTCCCAGGTCCACCCTGACCAGGGGTGGTAGCACGTTTTAGAGTCCCATCTACGGGCAAATAGTTGACCCCAAAACTGGGGTCAAAACACTATGAAAGTGTAAAAATAGGTTTTAATACCAGAAATACTTTGTAAAAAAATTATTACCAGCAATACATTTTTTGAAAAAAAAAATACTATCAGCGAAGGAAAATTCTTACCAGAAATAGATTTTTGAAGGAAAAAATATTACCAGAAATAGATTTTTGAAGGAAAAAATATTACCAGAAATAGATTTTTGAAGGAAAAAATATTACCAGAAATAGATTTTCGGAGAAAAAATATTACCAACAATGAAAATTTTGACGGCATTAAATAACCCATTGAGGTTGATATGCTGTAAAGCAAACCAAACCAAACCAATTTCTCTCTTCTTAATTCCTATTGTTCTCTCTACTTTCAAAAATTCCTTTTCGACTCTAAGGGTTGACTGAAGCCGCTCTGGTACAGTAAGTGTTGCGAAACACTGCCTATCTCACGACCCAAATCCAAACAGGGATCAGTTAACTATGTGAGAAGAAGATCACGGAACAACTGTTCTCATAAATTCCTCTCACAAAGGAAAAGTGGAGAAGGGAAGGAAGGTAAACCTTAAGTAACAAGGTGGCAGACTCGCCCCCACCCTTTCTGGTAAAACGATTACAAAAATCGGAGCTCGGAGCGGCCTCGCTTTAGAAAATCAGCATGGCAAACACTCCGCTTCCCACGTCTGGCAGCAACCCTCACACACTCGGGTAATTTCACTTATTTTTCCACACTACTTAATAATATTTTTTATTTTCTCATATTCTTTCACACTCGGTAACCCCTTACGTTTTAGTGGCTTTATTGCCTTGCTTAGGGTAAAAGGATTAAAAGAATGATTGTAATAAGCGATTGCTGATATTTTTAGCTCATGTTTAATAAACTTACCTTAGTTTTGACGCAATATAAGTGAAAGAAATTGTTAAAAAATGCTAGAAATTTATACATCAGCCTAATAATAAAGTAAATTCAATTTAATGATTGAATTAAACCCATTTTTATTACATTTAAATATATTTACTTTTATGTTCAATATCTTAAATTAGAGATGCACGATGGATAGCGGCTCGGATTCGGAAATCGGAGAGCCGAGTTCGAATACCAGTTGAGTTCAGTACATTCACTTATGTGCTAATACTTTTTGGGAACGGTATGAATCCATCTCTTCTCCACCAGCTATGGATAAATAGCAGGAGAGATTGAACTCTATAGCCTTTGTTGGCAACCAGCCTAGGAGAAGAAAAACTTTTGCCCAAGACACACCACTGCTGCAGTAAAATTAGCGCCCCTAATGACCCTAAGTGGTTAAACGATTCGTGCCGTGATCTTAAATGATTAGATATTTTAATGTTATCTGTTTGTCAATTCCTGTGTAATAGAATTCTTCGTCTGGATTCGTGGGTCGGTGATATTCCGTGTCTACTGATAGCAGAGTAGAAAGGCATAAAATTAACTTCTGTCGTTGGAGTTAAGAGTTCTTGCTTTATTCAAAAAGTTGTTTGGAAAGACAATAAGGTTTCTTATTCAATCAAACAATGAATTCATTTCGTGTGATAACCTTCGACCTCACAGAATGGCGCTGCAAGTTTTTTTTTTTCTGGCTCTTCCGCTTTTTATTTCTGCTTCCGTTAAGTAGCTAACCGGTCGTTATTGAAATACGTTTTTTGACGATAAATAGCTATGTAATCAAGCGTTATAAACATCACGTCAATTGATGACGTGTTTTTCTTTCATTCGACCTCATGTAAAGCTGACATTTTTTTTACTATGGATATATATGGTCAAACCAAATTTTCGAATATATTATAATATTTTATTATAAGTATTATTTTAATGCGGTACTTGATTGTTCATTATTATTTTCAGATATTTTATAATTTAAATATATGGCAAAATTTATTTTTATCTTAAATATATTATTTAATGTAATATTTTATAAAACTTTGTATTAAACTTTGATTCTTGCATGTATATTTTTGTTTGCCTTTGCTTTGTTACCCTAAATCTTAATTGGTTGTATGACTTATATATTTGCATTCAAATAAAACATTATATTAAATTATAATCAACATTTTGTATCACTGTCTTCGGCTTCTCGAGATGTCGAACAGCAAGAATTTCCAGTTTTGTAACGAACAAAGAGCATTTTAATTTTAAGTGTCACCCTTAAAAATCTCTCTCGTCGAAAACAGAGTCCTTGTGAGATGTTCTCTACTGACAAAATCTGTGTCATGTTAGATGTTTTGAAAGAAATGTTGACACCACAACTGTGATCATCTCAGGGTTTTCTTGGGCGTATAAGTCACACAATCAAAGTTTTTCAGCAAGCAATGTCTGGTGGTATTGTGAAATACTGTTGCGGCATTTTGAGCGCTCCGTACTTGTAGCCTAGTACCAAACAATACAAAGTTTGTTAGATGATAATTACATATTATGCAAGTGTTAGACAAACTATTCCTGTTTATAGACAATTGTTTTTGATTTCTCGTTAACTGATTTATGGTGACGATTCTAATTAGGTTAGTGAACTTTGAGCAGTCGAGAATTAGAGCAGTTCATTGAGACATTTATTGAATTTTTTTTTTTTAAATGAATAAAATAAAAGAGAAATAATATGGGAACCAGTAATAACGAGTGCCAGAGAAAAGCGATAATAACAACAGAAATTGCAATATGAGCTCTGGTAAAAACATTTATGATAAAAGCAAAAATTGCAATATGATCACTGGTAAAAAATGTTTGCGGAAGACATTAGGCTTATAATACCCAGAAATTCATACATAGATGTCCTTAAGGCACAGTAGATAAAGGCGTTAGTTAGATCCAGTGACAGGACCCAAAGAGTGTGGGTTCAATACCTGGTTAAGGCGGTGGATAACTTGGAGAGGTGAATTAACAGGAGATAACTGATAACTGACATTCATTAGACATGGCACGTGGAACTAGAACAGTCTACCCCAGTAAGTGAAATATAGGGTTCAGTTCGGTATTCCAACCACCTGAAGAAATCTGGAGCGTATAACGGCCAAAACGTTGTAATAAACATGGCGACAAAGATGAGAACAATCGTCTGAATATTGTAAATACACTACATAATACCTCACCTCAGAAATATAGACAGATACTAAAGAGAAATAACTTTATAAAAACTAGAAAAGATTTTCTCGAATTTAAAATTATACTTAATTCAAAAATTATCGTGCAATTTCGTATAAAAAAATATCAAAATTATCGTATAATATCATATAAAAAAATTATTTACGCTTTATTTTGACTGTCATGGAAGAAAAATAAACTGTAAGTTGTACGTTCAATCCCAGTACTAGGTTGTACAGAAATATATATATATATAATTTCAGTGGGGAGAACGAGTGGCATCAGAGGCAAGATGTGATAAGTCCTAAAACGAATCTAAGAACGTGACTGGGACGAGCATATTCCCGTGGATGAAATAAAGGATTTCGTTCATTATTTTCTGAAGTTTATGTAACAGACACGTGATCTATCAATATATCAACCGGAATATGACAACCCCACCCCCCAAAAAAAATAGTCCGGGTGAATTAATCATTAACAACCACCTTTTTGCCTGAGAAATTCAGACGAAAATGTTTCCATTGCCGGCGAATTATTCTTGGCGCCAAATCAAATATGAAGAATATACTCGCTTCAAAAAAATATAGCGTTTTCTCCCTTCTAAACGTTACCGTGCTACTTAAGGCCTTATCCACGTCAGAAGCAGGCAAGTTTTGTTTGTTGACATGAAAAGAAGAAAAAGGCAAAGGAAATCTAAGAGAATAAAGGTTCTTCGTATGTGTCTTGCTCAGAGAGAACTGGGTTGGCTTCCTCCATGATATGAAGTAGAACTCTACACCTCACCCAACACAGACGCCCACATTTCAGCTCAAACCAGTTTTTACTTCAATTGAAAGCAAAAGCGGTAATATGAGAAGTGGTAAATGTTATGACAAGGGTACACCCACCAAGACCCAGATTTTCGCGGGACGTCCTTCGATCAAGTGGCGATGGGCTGCGAATGTAATTAATAAAATATCCTAGAGACTTTGACAACACACTTTCCCTCATTACGAAAGAGTAAATGTCTGTTCGTATGCATGGATCTTGCTTTGTTTCTGTCTGTGTCTTTTGCTATCTATCCTCAGTTTATTGTATATCTATGACTATTATGACATTAATTATCTATCTATCTATCTATCTATCTATCTATCTATCTCTGCTTATATCGGTTATCCACTAAGATTTGCATTTTGTTAACTAATTTTTTAGATAATCTCAGCTCGTTGGTGGATTAACTATTGTCAACTTATTCCAATAAATTAAAGCTCACTTGTCACAAATATTCTTTTTACTAGTTATATTCCTCTAGTCTGGCAATCTTTGAATCAGAATAGAAAATTATTTTGTTCCTTTTTATAAGATTAGGCGTTCTGTTCTGTTGATTTCTACTACTTTACATGAAAGACGCCTGCATGGGTGCGGCACAATAGAATCCTAACATCTCTCGGATCAATCGTTATCTATCCTCCTTATCCTCGTAATCTTCACTTTTTACCACTTTCGCTCATATCACACACTTCATTCAGTGGCCCTCTACCATGAGTGGCTCCTGAACCTTGTACTGAGTGAACGTTCGTGAAATATATATACCGAGTCCAATTGTTAGATTAAGCATTGAACCGTTGTATATTAGGAATGACTAAAGATATAAGATATTGAAATTCGAGGTTTTTATAACATTATCGGAGTCTACTTTGAACAATAAGAATGTATTTAGCTCTAAGTTGAAATGATGATCCCCATTCCTGTTGTGACGTCCTGATCCAGTTTTCCTTTCTACTGTTCCCTCAGTTTTTAAAACTTATTCACTATTCTCTTGATGGTTCTTGGATAGACTTTGAAGATAGAAGTCCGAATATAAATGTTGGTAGCATTACTGAAGGCCTGAATGATCTTTTTCCTCTCACCATTGCTCATTTGGGAAGACAGTGGGACACAAAATGATTTTAACCTGTTCTATTTCTAGCTGAATAACTCAAAGGGTTTTTCAGTGATTCTTACGACAAATGGTGTCAAGATGGCTAAACGTCTTATCTGAAAACGTAGAAAAAAGATCAATTTGTCTAGTGTTTTTTTAGATATCAAACATTTTGTGGGATAGACAATTTTCCCATACTGTTACACGATTTGCGCAATTTTGATGTGACACCCGTATATATATATATATATATATATATATATATATATATATATATATATATATATATATATCTCCAATCTGTCAATCTTTTTGATTGTTTACAGAGGTGATAGATTGATAATAAATTTGTAGAAGGGGTTTTTGTAGCCTCTTTACTATAGAGATGGAATAGCTAAACTAAACTTGCTCCAGAACGATTTAGATTAATATGTGAGTGTGTGGCCGAGTGGTTAGAACCCTTGTTTTTCCGACGATAAGGTTCATGGGTTCTTAATGAGGCTATCCTAGCTCGCGGAAAGTGCCTGAAAACCATACCACAGGATAATCCTAGCCTTGTGAGTGAAATTGGGCAGACGGAATTGCTTGGAAGAGCGAAGTCACAAATCATCGTGACCAAGGATTTGAGTGTACTGACCTTGTTCAAGAAACTGATCATACCAGATGATGAGCTGTCTCCCGGGATATGTAACTAAGTTTCGCTCAGTATAGTTGGGGGTATAAACCAGCAGGCCTCTCTAATAGGGTTTGATTAGCCGAGTCTTGGGAGATGAGTTTTTCGGAAACGGGTAGAAACTGACCATTAATGTAAATAGGCTAACGTTTTTATTGGAACGGTTCTGTGACCTTTACGATGACTGACGATATTCGTGCAACGTGTCTACATTAAATATTGCAATAAGTTTAGCAACTGAGACCCTCGAAATGCTTTGTGGGGATTTTGCCGATCATTCTTCAGAGGTCTTTGAATGCCATGCATATTTGAAGGCTGGGTGAGTGTCGGTTCAAAATGGTGAGCGTTTCAGATGACAAATCACCAACAAAACATAAAGAGAATGTGGAAAAAAAAATTCGTGAACGTATGTATCAGGATCATCATCTATCGAAAAATCAATCATTCATCATCTATCTATCGCCAGATCCATTATCATCAAGATTGGAATATATATATATTATGGATATATCCATCATCTATCCAGGAAATAAAGGGATATTCATCTGAATCCATATATATATATGATATCCATCCATCCATCTCTCTCTCTCCTCTATCTATATACATATATATCTATCTATCTATATATATATATATATATATCTATCATTCATCATTCTCTCTCTATCTATATATATATCTATCTATATCTATCTCATATATATATATATATATATATATATATATATATATATATATGTTTATCTATCTATCTCTCTCTCTCTCTATATATATATATATATATTCATCTATATCTATTCATCTATCTATCTATCTATCTATCTCTCTCTCTCTTATATATATCTATCTATCTATCTATCATCCATCTATCTCTCTCTCTCTATATATATATAGATCCATATCCATCCATCCAAATTATATTATTATCTATCCATCTATCCATTTATCTATCCATCCTCTCTCTATATATAAATCCATTCATCCGAATCTAGTAGTTTATATATAATCTATCGGTAAAATTATCTCTCTATCAAAATATATATATATTTATCTATTTTATTTATATATATTATTTTTCCTGAATACTCTCGAATCCATGTATCTATCCATCCATTATTTTCCAATATATATATATATATATATACATTTATCCATCCATCTATCTAATCCTTCTTTATATATAATCCATCCATCCATCCATCCATCCAATCCTCTCTCTATATATATATATATATATATATATCTATATATATATATATATAGTTTGCTGAATAATAATCAAGATCTGTTTATTCAATCTATTATTTATTATCCATCCATCAAATCCATCCGAATGACGTTTTTAAAATTTATTAACCAAATTTCATATTTTGGTTTTTTATTTTATTTTTATTATTTTTTCCTGAATACTGTCGAATGGTGTGACATTTATTTTCAAGGATTGTATTTATGTATCTCAACTATACGATTGCCACGATGACATCCATTTAAACGGTCAAACTGGAATTTCTATGCGTATTTAAAATATTTTATACACATCTCAATATACGATTGCCTATGGAGAAAGACACACTTTATAATATTGGCTGAATTCTGATGTTATATATATATATATATATATATATATATATATATATATATTGTTTGTAGGTTTTGAAGATTGAGAGCTGCGCTTTTAGAGCTCTCATGATAGTACAACACTGGGTTTCATGCATGACGCAATATTCAGGTGTTGAGGATGAGTTGAAGATCGCTTTGTGCATGAAACTCCGAGACGTGCTAGCGGTGAGGGTTAAAATGCATATATATATATAAAAATTAAGTAATTCACCGACTCTAGAAGAAACTTCAGCAGACGGTCGTTTCGTCCTATATTTGGGACTCATCAACAGTACGCATCCACTACCGAGAATTGAAATCGGGACAATTACGTTATCATGCAAACGTCATACCAACTGTTCCAACGTGCCTCGGTGACAAAGAGGTAGCGAATCAGACTCCATATAACGCCGCACGATCACATATTCCGTGATGGAACTCATCAGAGTTTCCCTTACCAACAGTATTGTGCCTCCACGAGCCACGACGATTATCCCCATGCCGCTCCATCCAGAGTATTAGAAGCCGGTTTAAGCAAGGACGTACAAGGGATAGAAATTACTAGGAGGATTTGAGATAATTATAATTAATTCAACGAGTCTAGAAGAAGCCTGAACAGAATGCAGAAATATATATATATATATATATATATAATCATCAAATGAATAAATATAAATAAATGTACGTGCAAGTATTCACATACAGTATGAGTGTACGTGTGTGTGATTGAGTGTGAATTTCCTTACTTATATGTGTATAAACGCGTGCACACACACACACACACATTCTCTCTTATATATTTAGGGTGCGTTCGATAATTTAGCCCAAAATATGACCTAAAGAAAATAAATGTATCCAATAGTAAAATTAAAATAAATAAAATTATATAAATATTCTACAAACATTTTGAAAAAGGTTATTTAATGAATCCTCTTACAGCCTCGACGGCGACCTCCATGTTGTCTGCATATCCGTATCGGGATCAAGTCGTATCAATTCATGTTGGTGATCGCATCTACGATGTCGGTCTTTAGTGAGACTCGTATTATTGGTCCTCGACGTAATAATCCAAAAGATTTGAATCAGGAAAGCTACAATGCTACATCTTAGGGTAACATGACCGTGAGAATTCTTTGGGCCATCTGGGTAATGCCGTAGGAAACTGAGTCCTACAGGAATACAAAAAAAAAAACAAAACAAAACAACAACAAAAACACCCCTTTAATCCAGGGCTTTACAATGTCTAATATCTCGATATGTAGGCGTTGATATTGATCCTAAGCTCTACGGGAAGGCGTGGAGAAGCATAACTATAGTTTCTCAAGATCTCCAGGACCACCAGAGATGACATTAGGCTTGTATCACTGTGTATAACTTTGTGGGTCCTGTGAGTATCCCATCATTCGTCACGTTCTCCAGGCCACTTTCAAAAATCCTCGGTGAAGAGTGGTTGTCGTTTAGTACAACTAGGCATAGCCCTTTTCATTTCCTCTGTCAGATTGTTCAAAATTTGACACATGCAGGGTCGGATTAACCTTTAGGCCAATATAGGCTGCAGCTGAGCGCCCCTCAAGATTTTATAAAGCAATGATTTTAATTTTGTAGATTTTATAACGTCTAAATAGTTTCATAAACTCAAATGATATCAATTTGAAAAAAGTCCTATTTATTTTGATAGTTTTATTGTTATAATCTGGTTATAAAAATTTGTTTTTTTCTTACTAGAATTGTGTTGAAATATGTAGTAATTTGGTTTGCAATAAACTATAAAATAATGGTATTTCTTAAAGAATAATTTTATTGATAGATATTCTAATTTATTCAATTTAATTTACAATAGGTTTATTTCAAGCGATGTAAATGTCGCTAAAATATATCACGAGTAAAAAATATTCATCTTCTGAGGCGAGGGCATAATTTCACTAGCCTGGGTCCCAAAATATTATAATCCAGCCCTGAGCAAGTGCCTTATTAA